TTGTGAAAATCTTTTAGCTCTCACTTTAGTCGAACTCTTGAAAATTTGTCAGTTATATTTCACGACATAGTCAATTTGACTATTTCGAAGTATTGAGCACCCGATGTGGATAGTTTTGTGAAGTTGGGTCACGCATCATGTGTGGTGATTGCCCTGTCGGTATGATCTTTTTCAGAAGAGTGTCTCCATTGGACTTTTCTTGCCTTCATTGGCTGACTACAAGTTTTGCTTATTTTATGACTGCGTTGGTGTGGGAGCGAAGTCTCCACCTGCCTCATTGGACCTCCTTCCATCGTTCAGTGTGTACATTCATCGGCAGGAGATCTTTTGCAAGGTGGTGGGCTGGCTTCGTGGTTGGTGGGGAAAGGATCTACCAAAAATACGGTGGGACAAAAGTAATAACTTATATGGGGGCTTTGGTCTAAAATAAATGCAGAGCACTTCTTGCAAATGTGAGTTCTCCACCTCTCATTTGGCTCAAACATGCTCAGGTACAAACAGCAAAGATCCTTCTGTTTCTTTCTTCAAAAAATGCCGTCATTCACAGCGCGTTCACCTGTAGGGAAAACTGAGGAAGTTGAGAACGGAAAACATTCTTCTCAACGGCACTTACCCCTTCCCCTTCTATGAAGCGTTTTGGCCCAAACGGTCAAACCACATGTCAAGTGCAGGTCAGCTTCTAACCCTCGGTTCATCTTTTCTTGTGAATTGATCGCCAACAAAACTCAGAGTGCCTAACTTGGTAGAAAAACTTGTAAAGCCTTCGGCTTATGCGCGGTTCATTGCCGATATCTAACGATTACGGCTGACCGGCTCACCAAGTTAAACGTGTGAGTGCTGTAAGGCTACGGCATAAAAGCCGTTGAGCTGAGAGCGGCCCTGGTGGCGTAACGGATAGCGCACTCGCCCGGAAAGCGTGAGGTGCGGGTTCGACTCCCGCCTGGGGCACGACTTTTGCCCACAACTCAGCATTCTTGTGATAACATTCGGAACGCGTACTGCGGCGTTAAACAGCAGTTATCATAACAAAACAGCTTCAGGGTGTCTCCTGTCAGAGCAGACTCAATCCTCTAAATCGCGCAGATGCGCAAAGGTTCTTTACTACACACAGATCCATCGGTTGTGCTTCCTTCCCACGAACAAGACAGTAGTGCCTCATTAGTGCGGAGTTCAATGATGAAGTGATAGGCGCTTGCAGCAGTTTGGCTTTTAGGAATTGCTGAACTCCTTTCACATAAAGGAAAGTTGTCTAACCCCTTTCCTTATCCGTTGAGCAGCGTGACGCATCACAATATACGAACTGAAATTCTCAGCTACAATAAATTTTCAGCATGGACACAAAGAACATGCTATGAAGACCGTTTACGAATGTCGTTATATACATGTCAGTGAGATCTGAATATCGCAAAATTTGTCATGCCACTTGTGTGAATAGGCATATGATTGTGTCCTCTTGATACGGCAGGTATGGAACCTTCTTGCTTGAGGCCCATGTCATTTCAATTGTATTGTTCAGGTTATCTTGCGATACGCCTTGCTACCCGCTCTGTCGATAGAAGAGATGGACGTGATACCTACACAGCCACCAAAGGATTCATACTTTTCGGTAAGTCATCAATTAAGGAGGCCGAGGTGAACAACATCGGTGTAATGCGAGGGTTTTATAGGGGAACGCCGAATGGCAGGTGATCAATGTGACCGTGCGACAAATGAAATTTATGGAGGATGGCGAATATCGTGCAGAAGTGAGCTCTTACCCTTATGAGGCAGCCTAGACCACTTCAGAAACCAGTGATTCTTTTTAGGTGCATTACATTCTACATTTGAATCGTCGTCCAATCTACTACATCACTGTCATAGTTGTGCCAACGTTTCTAATCTCTGCACTCTCGATTTTGGGAATTTTCTCACCGGGATCAAATGACGGACCAAGGAATGAGAAGGTGAACTTTACAAAAGATTAGGAGATTCAATCCCTTCGTCAGAGATGTCAAGTATTCGGGGGCACACAAAGAATGTAAAAGATGAAACCTGACGTTTGAGAGCCGATCCATCCAGGAACTTTTTGCCAGCAGCTCTCATGTTATTATGAGCTGGAAGGTTTCCATGCAGCTATCCAAAACTCGCGTGGTGGTGCCCTTTGCCGTGTTCTTTTTGTCATTTTCGACAAAAATGCTTCCGAAGTGATTTTTCTTTCAGGTTTCGCTGGGTCTTGGTTCTTTACTAGCAATGACGGTACTTCTCGACATTGTCGCTGGAGCTATGCCAAAAAGCAACTCTATACCACTACTCGGTGGGTTCCATTCCCTGCTTCATCCTTTATCCTCGAGAGGATTCGGAAGGACATTTTGATATAGAACCTCCGAAAAAAAAGCTTCATACAAGATAATTCATTGCGCACATAGATACTTCTCCCGAGGACGGTGTTTTCCATGTGCGAGGTAAATGGGTCGCAGCTGGAGTAGCGTGCCGCTTTCTCCTGTCAAACGTGCACGAGAACGGGGCTGAGGCTAGTGTTTACCGGGTGCTGTCTCCTGAC